ATTGGCGAGCCCGAGGCACCTCCACCTCTGTGGCATGGGAAGGCGTCAGGCTCTCCTGGTTGCTCTGGCACACTGGGGTGGGCAATGGCATCATGAAACACCCCAGTCCATCACCTGCTCCATCACCCTGTGCAGACCTCCCCGTGTGCCCCTCCCAGGGCCAACCATGCCCGAGCTCCCCGGCCAGCACCCACAGGGATGGCTGGGCAACACCGTGACCTCCCGAGGCCTCCTGCTCGGTAAATAGTGTCAAGGTTAGAGCGAGGGATTCATTGGGGCCATAAATGTTTATGACAGGCCCTCCCCGCTCCCCAGCAGCCACGGCCTGAACTTTCCATCAGAGACACTTTTATGGCCACCCTCTAATGATTAACCCTGGGGCTAGCGGATGAAGGTGCTTCGCAGCACGGGCGTGCTGTCAGAGGCCCACGGGCCCCAAGAAGCTGGGGTTGGGGGACCCCCACCATGCCCATGGGCTGCAGCCACGGTGGGGGATGGCAAGGAGGAGGTGGAAAGTCGTTGGTGGTCCCACAGGAAAAAGGGAGAGCAGAGCCAGCCAGGGAGGAAGCTCAGCATCCCCAGCCATGGGGAGGCAGGTAGGGATGAGGAGGAGGTGTTGGAGATGCCCTCTGCCATTCCTGGATGCTGAGGACCCCCCAGACAAACCACCCGGAAGCTGTCCCACACTCCTGTTTCATGGTGAGCCAATGGTACACAGGAGAAGGCACACACGACACTGAAGTGATGGGGACTGGCAGCATCGGGTCCAGACAGCCCTATCCAGGAGACCTCCAGCACCCCCCAGGCCAGCAGCGCTGGCAGTAGATGGGTCCTGTGCTGAGCTACTCCAAGATCATACACAGGCACAGAAACCCATCCCTTCACATTTCCCTGGGAAAAACAAAACTCGAGGCTAGAGCCAGCCCTTGGATCCCCTTCAGGGATGGGCACAGGTACTACTTTGGCACTTGGCCCAGCTGAGACGTGACCCTGACCTCCAGCACACATGGAGAATGGGCTGCCCAGCCTTTTCCTTCAGCTTGCCCCAGCAAGGGGCAGCAAAGCTACCAGGCACTGTGGGGAAGAACTGCCCCAATTCACTGAGGTCCCTGGGGGATCTACAAGCTTGGAAAGGCCAAAGATGGTTTGTTTATAAAACTTTTCTTTTTTTTTCTTTTTTTCCTTCTAATTGTTCCAGACTGCTCATTTATTAGGTCAGATTTCTTTAGCAGGACACTGATTTGCAATAGTTTTTGTGGAGTACTTCCATGTGAGAAGAGCGCACAGGCACACACCATCCTCAGGGCATGGAGGGCATTACAGACCTTTCTCACAGCTGGTCGTGGGTTATTGGAGTTAAATACATGTGAGCAGGAGCAGACCAATGCAGAGGACCTCGTCCTTCTCCGCACCCGAGCACCCCTGCAGCCCAGGCAGCCCTGGGTGGGGAGGGCAGGGTTGGGGCAGAGGGTGGGAGTGGGGCAGCCCCGACACTTGCACCAGACACCGCCACAAATGCACGGACTCGTCACACAGCTTGTCACACCAAACAGAAACACCTCGGAGGGATGGGCGGCAGCTCCATCCTGGTGGGGTCAGGGTGGTGGCGAGGAGGCCAGCAGGATGGGCAGCTCCACACTGTCCCCCAAAAGACACACCAGCTCCTCCCCGAGCAGCCCTGAAGTGCTGCAGTGCAACCTGTGCCAATCGGGAGGGTGAGCCCCCGTCACCAGTCCACGGGGTGCTGGGTGCCCTCACATCATGGACTCCTCCTCCTCCATCTCCCGGTCCACCTCGATGGCCGTGTTCTCGTAGCTGGTGATGCCGCCGTACTTCCTCATGTGGACCATCAGGGGCCTGGGGGACTGGCTGCCGGGCAGGCTCGCCACGTACACGCCCGTCCGGTTCTCCTCCAGCGACGGGCCCCAGTCCATGGTGGGCCGGCTGGCTTGCTGGACTCGCTGCAAGCAGATGGGCAGAAGGAGCACCAGCACCCCCACCCAGCAGGCCACCCACCCCTCCCAGGGCTGGGGTGCTCTGCCAGCCCTGAGGGACTGGAAGAGCCCCCGTGAGGATGGGATGGGGCCAAAAAGCTTGTCCTGGAGGTTTTTGGGAAGGAAGAAGTGGCCTGCTGTGGGCTGGGGAGGTGTTATCCCTGCTGTGGTGGTTTGACTTGGTGATCTTAGAGGTCTTTTCCAACCTTAATGACTCTACTGTAGAATCATAAAATGGTTTGGGTTGGAAGGGACCTTTCAAGGTCACCAAGTCCAACCCCTTGCAGTGAGCAGGGGCATCTTCAGCTAGAGCAGGTTGCCCAGAGCCCCATCCAACCTGGGTGCTAGTGTAGTGAGGTTCCAGGAGCTAGGGACTACTGCAGGGTTGTGGCCCTATGGTGCAGGGTTAGAGCCACCCAGCCAAGGGAGTCCCTGGCCATGCCACTGTGCCCATGGCTGTGCCAAGCCAGGCTGCAGCCAGGAAGTGCTCCAGCTGGTGAGCTGCTGCCTGTGCTTTCGGCAGCCTGGGCAGAGCAGCAGAGCCCGGCCCGGGCCGAGAGGGCTGTGAGCAACCAGTAGCTCCAGAACCTGCTCCTGGGCAAACCCTTCAGCCCAGGGACCCCCGTGCTGCCCGTGGCTGCCCGCACTGTCTGGCAGCTGCCTTCCCTGCTCCATCCTTGCTCCTGCAAAGCGGGTGCAAAGTCCCACGTGACCGTGCCTGCTCCATGCTGGGCACAATGCCCTTCCCCATGGGGCAGGGCACAGCAGGCTCCTTTTGGAGGGGGGACGTGCATGGGGCTGCTCCTTGGGAAGCACCTGCCTGGCATCACTGGGTGGACACTGTTGGAAACATCCTGGGACATGCAGTTGCCCATGGACAGCAAGGAGGGATGGCGACACACTCCAGGAAGGAGGAGGCAGAAATTTCCCGAGGATACAGGCTCAGCAGGGGCTCGTGGTCACCTCTGCACATTTCTGTGGTGTTCCCTAGCAATGCCAGGCCCCAACACCTCCTACCTCCCACAGTGTCCCTTCCTCTTGAAGCACAGCCACCACCATGCCCACGGGAATCATGAGGCAGGAGAGGACTCCCATGAGGATGCCCAAGACCTCAGCCCAGGTGGGGAAGCGGTAGTTGCCGTACTCGGAGGGCTGGTACTTGACAATGTTGTACAACAGCAGAGCCTGTTGGGTGGGAGAAAAGTGAGGTCAGCCCAGAGCCTTCTGCAGGTCTCATGCTCACAAAAGGCCTGGAGACCTCCCAGCAGAACCAGAATGGTCCCTGGGGCAGGAGACACCAGCAGAGTGACTTCTCGCAAGCAGAGGTCATCCAGGGATGCTGGCACCACTGCAGCTCTCCAGCACCATCCAGAACCTCAAGCTGAGCAGTTACCATCATCGTTGCTGGGGACAGGACCATCCAGCAGGCTCTGAAGTAGGGTCCTGGTTTGAAGCCCAGCATCATGTGGATGTCTCGGCAGAACCTCTTCATGCCTGGAGAAGGGAGAGGGACTCAGAAGCTATGATCCCTCCCCCAGAGCCAGTGCCTGTACCAGGCTGCCCTGCCCTGACCAAAAGCAGTGCTTTGCATCTTCTACATCAAAGTGCATCCCCTCCCAGCTGGGAGATGCAGGAAGGGAGGCCCAGTGGGTGCTGTCTGAGGGACAAGGCTCAGTACCCCAACTATCTCTGGAGAGCTGGATCCAGTGATGGCCAAGAAGGAACAAGAGGTGGGAGCAGAGGTGTTCCTGCCCGGTGCAAGGCTGCTGGCTCCTCTGTGGCTCCCTGCAAACCCCTCTCTTCACACAGACAGCCCACTCCTCCCTGTGCCCCTGTGGGGACAGACCCCTTACCATAGACACGTGTCACCACGAGGCAGGTAGTGATCACCACCACCATGAGACCAAAGCCAGCGCTGTAGTCATCCAGTAGGACCAGCCAGTACATCCCACCCTGTGAAGGCAAAGCACAGTGGCCAGTATCCCTGGGACCAGCATCCCAGTAAGTCTCCTCCATGACTGGGGAAGACAGCAGTCAGGCACCAGCAGGAGACACTCTCCTGGGGGCTGGTGCAGGGATGGGAATGACATGTCACTCCCTTGGACCTCACACCCCCAGGGAGCCCAAGCTCACCCATCATTTATCTTTCACCCTGTTAGCAGATGTGCACACACGTCTCTGCAAACTGGGACCCTACCCGAAGTCCTCCCTACAACGAGGCCCTAGCTGGTCTCCACAATGCATTCAGCCCCACACCCTTGCCTCTGTGGTGAGGATGAGCCCCATCAGGAAGAGGGCGATGCAGATGACAGCTGAGAAAGAGGCTTTCTTCGGCCGCAGGTAGTAGGGGAATTCGTCTGTCACCGCCGTTACGATGGTCTCCATGAAGGCAAACTGCACGCAAAGAAGAGGGTCCCCTGAGCCCCCAGGCTGCCTAGGCACCACGCCTGGCTAGGTGGGCTCTGTCCTCACCTGGCTGTCCAGGCCCAGGGTGAGCAGCATGAAGAAGAACAGGAAAGACCAGAATGGAGAGAGAGGGAGCATTGTCATGGCCTGGGGGTACACGACAAAGGCCAAGCCAGGACCTAGGGGAGGCAAAGGACAGCAGGGTGAAAAGGAGGTGACAGCACTGGGCACGGGACGATGGAGGAGGGCCCAGCAGGGTGGCACTGTGGCAGGGACCTCTTGGGGCTCAGGTAAGATGGGCAGGTGGTGTCCTGCAGTAGAGGGTGGAGAGGTGCAGGAGAACCAGCCTGCTCCTTGCTCGGGCCTTTATCAGACATCACTTGGTGTTGCTCGAGGCTTGCACAGCACTCCCCACTTCCCTCCCCCCAGCCAGCTGAGCATGCAGCTTCTCCCTCCCACTGACACCCTCAGATGCCTTCCATCTGGAAGGGATGCTCCTCAGGGCACCCAGGCAGAGGGTGAAGGAGAAAGGGTCTTTGGCCTCACCTGCTTTTGCCACCTGGTTAACAGGGACCCCAAGCTCCTGGGACATGTATCCCAAAACAGAGAAGATGGCAAACCCTGCCAGGATGCTGGTGATGGCATTGCCCAGGGTCACTATGAAGGTGTCCCTATGGAAGACAAAGAAGATGCTCTGAACATGTCCTTCCTTCCCACCCCACAGCAGGGCATGGTGGCACTGCCAGCCACAGGTGGCCCAGTGAGGTGACCCAGTGCAGTTCTCCTCCAGAGCCTCTCTAAGTGTGTGCTTTCCAGGGCAAAAGGAGCATTTATCTAATGACATGGGTCATTTTGTAGAGGTTTCTCCCAAGCTTGCTCTCTGCTGTGGAAAAGATCATCCCAAATATCCAACACCCAGACTCCCTTCTCTGCTGGTGATCTGCAGCAGATGCTGGGCGCAGGACAAACAGGCATAACTATAGCTTCAAATATGCTCAGCCTTCAGCTTCTACAGCCCAAAACTTCTGAGTCTGTTGCTTTGCCTTGATGTTTAGAAGAATTTTCTTTCACAGATCGCTCTGTCCCTCTCTAGCCTGTGCAAGCTGCCAGGTATCTGTAAGGTGCTCAGGCAAGGAGCAGTGCTGGGTGACCGTGTGCTGCATCACATGCTTCTACTGCATTTGAACCCACCAGCTGAGGTTTCCATGGCTCCTCTCAACCCACAACTTTATGAGACAGCAACTGGCACTTACCTGTAGATATTCTGATGGAAGGTGTTGTATGAGGCAAAGGTGAGGAGGCCCCCAAAGCCTACCCCAAGAGAGTAGAAAATCTGCAGGGCTGCCTCAATCCACACCTGGGGAAGAAAACAGACATGAGAAGAGCAGGGGTTTGGAAAGCTCCTCTTGAGAGAATTGGAAATATCCTTCTCAGAGCCCCTTGAACATCTTCCCCAGCCCTCTAGGCACGCAGAGCCCACAGGGTCTTTGCCTTTCCTTGGTAACATGCTCACCACTTGTAGTGGGTCAGCTCATAGTGAAAGGGCTAATAAGAGTATTTCAGAGCCAGCCCAGCACGGTCCTAAATACCCTTCTAAAACTGAGTGGTCTCTGCTACCAACACTGCTGACCCAAGGAAACACACCATACACCAAGAAAAACAGAGCAGCTGATGCCACCACAGGCAGCCATCATCACCCCCCGGCCGGGGAGCTGGGCTAATCCTGCCCATGGTCCTGACACCCAGAGTGACTGGTGAGCGTGGCAGGCCCTGAATGGAGAGCCAGAAACAGTCATGAAGTTCGGCCAGGTGGGAAGAGCAGTATAGACTGTTGAAAGGCAAATAGGTTTGGTCGGGGAGCAACCAAGAGCAAGGACTTTAGTTTGGGGGGTGGCCAGAAAAAGCACCTGAGTAAGGGAACCACCTCTGTTGCATACTGAAGGTGGCAGGAGAAGATTCATTTTTGCATCCTGAACAAATTGCACAAGACCCTGCTTACCTTGGAAGACAGCAAGTGATCAAACTGGGGCGTGAGGTAAAAGCGGATCCCCTTCCAGGCCCCCTCCAGGGTCACACCACGAATGAGCAGCATCACCAGGATGAGGTAGGGGAAGGTGGCGGTGAAGTACACGACCTGTGGGAATGCAGAGCACAGCACAAGCACTCCAGACCTGTCCCCCCGGGGTGGGACACCTCATCGCCCGGCATCACCCTCAGAGCTGGGGTCCTTGGGGTGCAGCAGGGCCAGTGGTGTCAGCTCTGCTGGCCTCTGGGTGTCTTGGTGTCCCCAGAATGGTCAGCGTCCCACTCATGTTGTTCATGGGTCTCACTTTGCCAGGTGTGCAGAGGACCACGGGCACTGCTGAGCATCGCTGCAGATCCCCCAGGAGAGACTGCCCAGCCCTTACCTTGCCAGAGGATTTGACTCCCTTTAGGATGCACAGGTAGACGATAGTCCAAGAAAGGAGCAGGCACAGACACAGGTTCCAGCGGATCCTCCCAGGATCCCCAATCCCGGAGCTCCCGTGGATGTGCAGGACATACCGGCTAGGGCACAAGGAGAACCCCCGGTGAGCAGCATGGAGCATCCCCCACCTTCTTCCAGAGACCTTCTCTGAGCCTAGCAGTTCCTCTGCTCCAAAAAATAACCTTGTGAAAAACCCTAGCAGTGAGAGAGCAGCAGGGTGCTGGCAGCTCTTTGCCAGGGGAGCAGTTGGTGTGGTTTCTGCACCACGCACTGGAGAGCCCAGAGGGGATGCTTGGCAGCTTGAGAGCAAATTCCCAGCTGGTCCAGGCATGGGATGCATCTCAGTCTAACATACCTCCAGGCCAGCAAAGCAGTACTAGATCCTAGAATCATTTGGGTTGGAAAACACCTTTAAGATCATCAAGTTGTACTGTTAGCCTAACACAGCCAACCCTACCTCCCACATCCTAGGGACACGATCCCAAGGGCTAAACTGAGATATAGTCCACAACAGACCCCAGGAGACCATCAATGCACCCACAAGGCCCAACATGGGTGTTCCCCATGTGATGAGACATGCTGCACAGACCTCCAGCCCTCCTCCCATCCCCGTGCTCTCCCTGGTTGGATGCTGGCCATGTCCCCAGAGCCAGTTCAAGCCGACCTCTTTACCTCCAGTACTCCTCACTGGGGCTGACAGTGTTGGTGATGTTGGCAGGGAAGGTGGTGTTCCCCGCCTTGATGACGTGGTGGTCCAGGCACAGGTCGGTGTTCCACCAGTTGCCGCAGTGCTGCCAGGGCAAGTCGCTTGTGAGGGATGCAAAGAGGTAGAAGAGAACGTAAGCAATGATCATATTGTAGTAAATGGCCACCAGGGAGACGATGAGGATCGTGCCCATGCCAACGCCTGGAGGAAGCAGAGGGTAAAGAAGGAGTGAGCCGTCTCTCCGGAGCAGAGCGCATCCACAGCCAGGGTCAGACACTGGGTCTCAGCAGCCACAGGTTCAACCACTCAGAGGTTCAGCTGGTGGGGGATGCCTCTTGCTGCCGTTACGTCCTCTGGACTTGCCTTCTCTGAATTGATGATCTAACGCATCAGACAGATGATTTTACTCCAACTTAATGTTGAGAGTTGAAGTATTTGATCTGACCTTTCTTTTTTTTTTCCCAACTCTATTCTTACCTTTGTCTTTACCAGCCATTTCTAAGCTTTGCTGCTGTGTTTTGTACGCTACGTGGCTTGATAATTTTCATATAATTTCTAAAGCTGGTCATGACACTCAGAGCCTCCAAAGGGTGATAGATATCATACATATCTCGTAGCTACTAAAACAGCTAACCCAGAAATCCAGCCTGCTCCACCTTCCCCCAGGATTTAACTTCTGATTCTAACAAGAGCTCTGAGAATCATGGGACGCTGCTGCTGGTCTATGTCCTCATCAAACAGCTCTTCCAGAGGCTCTGGACTTCACTCACGCACCTTTAAAGAGAGGGCTTATCTTCCAGACAGCAAGGGGCCCCAGGCTGGAGAACTGGCCAAGTGACAGCTCCATGAAGAAGATGGGGATCCCACAGATGGCCAGCATGATGAAGTAAGGAACCAAGAAAGCTCCTGCAAGAAGCAAGAAAAAAACCCTAAAACTAACACAGAGCAAACACCCAATGCCCATCTATGACAAGGAATAAAGTTCGTTCAACATCTGTGGCCCTGAGAGAGTTACACCAAAATGTGGAAGACAGCAAGTGGCAGCAGCTCATTAGTGCAGGAGGAAGGGGTTGGGATTCACCCAGTGCAGTGCTTCTCCCCACCCACAACTCTCCTTTCTGTCTGAATCTTTCATAAACACCATTAAATTCTGCAGTTATTGTTGCATGCGGCATGCAATTAACTCTGGGAGGAGCTGAACTAGATGGTCCTTTGTACCATCACACCTGGCTCTTGCATTGCAAAAGGCCTGTTCCCCTCCTTCGATACCTGGGAAATATTTGCTGACCCCACTGAGCCCTGGAGGACACCAGGCCAAAAAGCTGTTGGAAGCCAGGAGGGATGCTGAAGTTCTATTCAGTCCAGCATGGAGCTGGGGATGTCTCCAAGGCCTTGAGTGCAGAGGTAGGCTGGTGAGTCCCTTCCACACATGGGTACAGGTGGTTAATGCCCTACAGCAAGCATGGAGGAGGCTTCACCCCACAACAACAAACACTGCTTCCCAGCCATGAGAAGGGGAAGGGACATCTCTTCAGAGACGCTTCCCACCAGCCCAGCTCAGTGAGGGGGAGATGCTGCCACTCCAAAGGATGCCCAAGTACCTCCTCCATTGGTGTAAGCCCTGTAGGGGAACCTCCAGACGTTTCCAAGGCCCACGCAGTATCCGATGCAGGAGAGGAGGAAATCCAGCCGCCCCGTCCAGTTCCCTCTGTCTTCTGGACCCTCAGACCCCAGGTCCCCACCCTGGCTGCTGGGGCTCACCAGGAGCTCTGGCGTCACGGGCTGGGGGAGAGAGCAGGGTGTGGGACAGGTTGAGGAATAAGAACAGGGGGTGAAGAGTGGGGAAGGAGGGAAGGAGTGCTGGGAGGTCAGGGGTGTAGTTGTGACCCTGAGCTGCAGCACAGACACGTTCCCTGGGGACAGCAGGATGGCCTCGGCTCACCCTGGGAGGCCAGGTCCCACCTTGCAACCCCCATTTCCCAAGATAGCCTTTCAAGGGGCCACAACAAGCTTTCCTGATCTCCTGCAGAACACGGGGGTGAGGACAGCAGGGGAGGAAGGTCTCTGAGCAGGACAGGACAGCCCAGTCCCACATGCCCCTGCCCTGCCCAGCGATCGGCTGCCATGAAATGCTCTGTGCTTTTTTCCACTTTTCCAGCTGCCCAAAGCTCACTCTGTGGGGATTTAGTGACACCTCCCTCTTGTCGCTGCTGAGAGAGCAACTTCCAGCTCTCCTAACCTGTCCTGGATCAGTGAGGCACAGGCGGCTCTTCAGCAGGCAGAGGATTAACCCATTCCCTCCCTCCCTGGCTGCCCCAGCTCTGCAAGAGGGAGGTGCAAGTCCTACAATGTATTTAGGTTGGGGTTATGCTCTGGGAGGGCTCCTTGGTCTTTGTGTGTGTCCCCTCAGGTCTGCAGTGAGATGTTTGGTCCATCTGAACTTCCCCAGCCTCCTGACCTTGGCACCCCCATGGGCTTCCATCCCACGGGCAGTCATCGGAGCTGAAAGCCTCAGCCAGCAGTGAGATCCTATTGCAGGTACCTCCTCAGCGAGACCAGGCAGTGACAAAGGGTGATGAGGGTCCTGTCCCTGTGCCACCACGTGTTGCTGTGCCCCTGCCTGGGTTTGGCTGGTATTGAGGCACAGAGACAGAAGGATGCTGGGGTCCCTGATGACAAGGCATGAGGGCCAAGGCAGGAGGAGATCATCTGGGAATTTTCTTTTCCTCTTGAGCTCTCAAAAGGAAAAAGCAGCCATCTCCATGTTCCTGAGTTCATGTATCATAAGGAACAAGCTCATGGGATGTGGCTGAGGGAGAGGAGCCTGGATTTGGAGGGTTCATGCAGAAGGAGTCATGGCTCCCCCTGCACGAGCATGCACACATGCTCAGAGCCTGCATCATCCTCCAGGACATCTGAGCTGGCTGGTGAGCAAAGCCCAGCACTGCCCTGACACAGGCCTTGGGAAAGGTGGAAGCCATCTCTTCTCCTCCTCCTCCTCCTCCTCTTCAGCTGGACAACAGGATGCACTT